TGGTGGTCTGCTGATATACCGTGCAGAAATGACAGGTCTGTAGAAACAGATCCATCGGTAGGTCATGCAATGAGGGGTCTGTATTAGATCTGTAGATGAGGGATCTGCAGATGAGGGATGTGGGGTCTGTAGACTTTATGTAGTTATGCGCATTAATAAAATGTAAGTAGACAAAAGATCTCTATAATACATTCACTATATATAGTGCCTGTACAAAAGCTGTAGATTTGACACCATTAGATATAAGACAAGTAAATAAAAAAATGCCTACAGAAAAAATAATGTAACTCTTAAATGATAATTAGATATTAGACATGAAAATACCAGGCAGTAGATTTAAAGGCTGTAGACTGAAGCCTGACACAACTGGTGAGATACAACAAATGAAGACAATGGGCAGAATTCCAGCTGTTCCAGTGAACAATGGGAAGCCAAGATAAGCGGTGCTTCTTGAGGTGGGAGAGACGCAGTGTTCAGTGAAGTAGCAGGTAGAACTGGCAGCGTCGGCCCTTAACTGTGGAATATTTGAGAATGCAGCTGTTGTAGAAGAGATGTCAATACTGGAACAACTCGTCGACTCGATGGAGAGACATCCCAGTCTACAACTAAGTTGTGACCCAGCTCAGCATTGTGGGGCTGGCTAGGATGAGACTGTAATGTTTCATCCACGTGTTTGAGGTACATCGTTGTCAACAGACTCCGGTCAGATTCCCGAGCGGCAAGCAGTGGTACTTCAGTAATAACAAGGAAGGGTATCACAGTGGTTGTGTTAGCCACAATGATGATGATGATGAGGATGACGACAGCCACCAGAAAAGCACTTACTTAAAACTATCCCCGCGTCGCTTGTGTGGTCTCATACTAGCACCATCCCGCTGCTGGCTCCTGGACTTGCAATACACCACACTGTCATCATTGAAGTGTTTGGCACCTGAGACTTTCTCCTCGACGTCCACGGATCGGTAGGCCAGTCGACTCGGCAGCGATTCTCCCCGTGTAGGATTCACGTGCCCTCTGAACAAACAGAGACAACAATACTGGTAAAAGTAAACGTAACAAAATTCCTGGTGAGAAATAACGACCTGTATACTTAATATGAATGTAAGACAAACCATAACTGGGTAAAGAGAGGAGACACTCTGACAACAAACTGAAGGACTCCACTGTCGATCAGGTCTTTGAGGTCATAATAAGGCGCATAAAGGTTGATGCAAAGACTTATCTCCTTAAATTTTACCAAGCACCATCTCAGATAGCGACATTGTTCGTCACAGAACTGCCCTTTCTCGCGCGGTCTTCACTTCCCTCGTAACAGCCGGTTACACACGGACGAACCAGTGAGTAGATGCGCATAGTAAACGATCCTGGGGGTAGCTAGGTTAGCCACGTCAGGCACATTAACAACAGTAAGAGGACATTTATGATAAAGTACTGCAGCCAGGTATCAGTGGGAACAAGGCAGCTTGGCTAGGTTGTGAAACCAAACAGGTGTTGCTTGGCTGTGTGGTGATGATGTGCTAGGCTAACTACCAATACCGGTTAGTAAATTAGTTAGTTATATACAAACAGAACACAAATGCGATAGCAACCTGAACACCATTTAATTGTTCAGTCCGTGTTTATGAACCCCATCAAGCAGCAGAAGTCACGGCCAGCCACACGGGGGCTTTCGCTTGATCATTCCTTCCTTCTGGTATCTGCATACCCAAGTAACTGATGGCTCATGCCCGCCCCACCCCTTTCACCTGACATCCTACTCCTTACGTGTATTCAAACCACCTACGTGTATTCAAACCACCTACGTGTATTCAAACCACTTACGTGTATTCAAACCACTTACGTGTATTCAAACCACCTACGTGTATTCAAACCACTTACGTGTATTCAAACCACCTACGTGTATTCAAACCACTTACGTGTATTCAAACCACCTACGTGTATTCAAACCACCTACGTGTATTCAAACCACCTACGTGTATTCAAACCACTTACGTGTATTCAAACCACCTACGTGTATTCAAACCACTTACGTGTATTCAAACCACCTACGTGTATTCAAACCACTTACGTGTATTCAAACCACCTACGTGTATTCAAACCACCTACGTGTATTCAAACCACCTACGTGTATTCAAACCACCTACGTGTATTCAAACCACCTACGTGTATTCAAACCACTTACGTGTATTCAAACCACTTACGTGTATTCAAACCACTTACGTGTATTCAAACCACTTACGTGTATTCAAACCACTTACGTGTATTCAAACCACTTACGTGTATTCAAACCACTTAAGTGTATTCAAACCACCTACGTGTATTCAAACCACTTACGTGTATTCAAACCACTTACGTGTATTCAAACCACCTACGTGTATTCAAACCACTTACGTGTATTCAAACCACCTACGTGTCTTTCATAAACCTACATGTCTTCTATTAACCTACGTGTCTTTCATAAACCTACATGTCTTCTATGAACCTACGTGTCTTTCATAAACCTACATGTCTTCTATGAACCTACGTGTCTTTCATAAACCTACATGTCTTCTATGAACCTACGTGTCTTACAAGAACCTTATTCTCTGAAGGCAACTGCACCTTTCATACATTCACAGTATTTCAGTTTCAAAGATAAGACATGCAAGTGAGCCACACACACAAACACACACGCACGCACGCACAAACACATACACACACGACGTGGCTGTGAGTAAGCCAAGAAAAGACCAGACGCTGTAAGCCGAGAAAAGACAAGACCTGTGAGTGAGCCAAAAACAAATACAAGACGCTGTGGGTGAGCCAAGAAAAGACAAGACGCTGTAGGTGACCCAAGAAAAGACAAGACGCTGTAGGTGACCCAAGAAAAGACAAGACGCTGTAGGTGACCCAAGAAAAGACAAGACGCTGTAGGTGAGCCAAGAAAAGACATGACACCGCTTAAGAACCAAGAAAAGACAAGACAATGTGGGCCAAGAAAAGACAATACACCGCTTGTGAACCAAGAAAAGACAAGACACCGTGAACCAAGAAAAGAAAAGACGCTATGTGTGAGACAAGAAAAGACAAGACACCGCTTGTGAAACAAGAAAAGACAAGACACCGCTTGTTAAAACCAAGAAAAGTCAAGACACTGTAAACTGTCGTGTAGTGAGCAGCCAACACTACACAATGGACGAGTCGTGAATCTGACTTCCCTACGCGGACAGTCAAATTTCAAACTTAAACCCGTCCGGAAGGATATATAGTCCCTTATATTGATATATACCTTTATCTGGTAAAATATTCATTTCTAGACCCTCTAGTTAGTTGCTTTGATCAATCTTCATTTTCAAACTTGCAACTGTAGGTTGAAGATTTCTGTTATTTTATTCGGAAATTCCCGTAAGCCGGTTTACTCCTTAGGCATGAATACAGGGGACTTCTTTCCTAGAGACGCTAAGTTTGGTTTTGAGAAAGCATTCTTTCGCCTGATCCCAAAGTGTCAAGACGTGTAAACAGTCTATGTAGAAATTGGCGCATTCAAAGTTCCAGTTCTATCTTGGAAGAATTTCTAAGCTTGGATAAGTTGATTATAGTTTACGAGTACCATAATATGTCTTGTTAAAGCTGGCCACTGCTGCAGAGAGGGAAGATTCAGCTGTGTGATCGAGTTCTGCCGTTCATGATGTCCAGAGCTCAGGCTCCGAACATTAAACCTTTCCCTGTGCAGACTAATTAGTTTGAGCTCTACAGAACCCACACCATTTGTAAAGATATTAAACCCTACAAGCAATTATTCTCTGACTAGACAAACGTAGTTTTGTGCCTCCTAGCAGAAATACAGAATCTGGGTCATCTTTTAAAGTAACGGCTGTGACGTCAGAGTTAGACGCTCTGAGTCGAAAGTGTGTTTGACACAGATTCAGTGGGTGTGTAGTGAGCAACCTGTGGAGACGTGAAATATATATGGGTACTAACTGTATACATTGTATGTCTGCGAGTGCAGATGTGAGGGTGGAGAGCGGGTGATCTATGTGTGGAAGTTTCTATCTATCTCCACTATATACCTTGTTTTCTATCTGCTGCACTAATTTACAGACAGATAGATGAAAGGAGACATTGTCTCCTGTTCTTGAGAGTTACACTCTGAGAAATGGAGAAGGGCAGCTAAGTGGGGGGGGGGGGGGTGAGCTGGGGTGTGAATAAGGCTGATTACTAATTCTGAGTTCGTTCCTGACAGGATGATACCTCCTTAGAGATCAGGCAGATGAATCACAGTCCAGCCAACCACCACCAACCCATACCGTTCTGGGCACCAAGCATATCCAAAAGTCCTGTATATTGTGCCACTACCTCAACATGGCAAGAGCTTGTTTGTGAGTTCCAGGACCAGTGGACAATTGCAGACACCTGTGTCATCAATCCAGAGAACCAGTCTTCAAGAGCTTTGTTGGGCTCTTATACAGTTCTTGTGTCATTACCTGTGAGACAATCAGCTTGTACCAGATCAAATCGAGGCATAGATACCTGAATCAACTACAGTCGAATCACCATGGACTAAGGGGAGCATTGACCTACGAACTGGGCTAAGTGATCTATTATTCAAATTCATGCTCTCTTCCCACAGCAGCTTATAAGTCCGATGATGAACTCAAGTACACCTCAAGGCAAAATCTGGCTGCTTCAATCTCTGGGTTGTGTCATTGATTCCTGAGCTCCATTCACTGAACTCTTGTTTATCTATTCATTATTATATGTATATATTGTACTGATTACATGCATACATTTTCATGGCTGACTTGGTTGTCCCTGTTTCACCATTCTAACTGTCTAGCTTTGATGTTTGTATGAGTGATAAATGGTATCTGTGTTAACATGGCTAGGATAATATACTATCATAACCTGGGGGTTACCTTTTTATAGTAGTGGCGGTGTCCAGCCAAGTGTGCCTAGGAATATTATATAATTTGTAGTGCCATAGCTTGAGTTGCCCTACTCCTGAAACAAGTTGAGCGTATATTGGCCACGGGATATCCCTTAGACCAATACGAGCCAACGACTCAACATAATTATGTCAGAGTGCTGTTGGTTCTTAAGGAGAAATCCTTAAATCAGGCACGTGACAGGAGCGATAAACCAAGAAAAGACAAGACACCGTTTGTGAACCAAGAAAAGACAACACACTGTGAGCCAAGAAAAAACAAGACACTGTATGTAAACCAAGAAAAGACAAGACACCGTAAAAACAAAAAAAAAAAAACAAGAGGCTGTGGGTGAGGCAAAAAATGACAAGACACTGTTTGTAAACCAAGAAAAGACAAGACACAGTGAACCAAGAAAAAAACAAGAGGTTGTGGGTGAGGCAAGAAATGACAAGACACCGCTTGTGAACCAAGAAAAGATAAGAGGTTGTGGGTGAGGCTAGAAAAGAGAAAACGCTGTGAGTGCAACAAAACAAGACGAGACACTGTTTGTGAGTCAGTTTTGTTCTTCTTCTTTTTTCTTTCTAAGAGGCTGTGGGTGAGGCAAAAAATGACAAGACACCGCTTGTGAACCAAGAAAAGACAAGACACTGTTTGTAAACCAAGAAACAACAAGTCGCTGTGAGTGAGCCAAGAAAAGAGAAGAGGTTGTGGGTGAGGCAAGAAAAGACAAGTCGCTGTGAGTGAGCCAAGAAAAGAGAAAAGGTTGTGGGTGAGGCAAGAAAAGACAAGACACTCGGCTTGTGAACCACGAAAAGACACTGTAAGCCAAGAAAAGACAAGTCGCTGTGAGTGAGCCAAGAAAAGAGAAGAGGTTGTGGGTGAGGCAAGAAAAGAGAAAACGCTGTGAGTGCGCCAAAACAAGACGAGGCGCTGTTTGTGAGTCAGTTTTTCTTCTTCTTTTTTTTTTTTCCTTTTAAGTTCAGAACGTCTTCTCCTGAACGTTCACACACAAAGCTGCAGGCATCCCCTCAGATGGTGCAGGGCGCCAGACAGGTGAATCCCTGCACGGCTACAATCGTCGTTCTCACAACAGGGCCAGGTAGAGCT